CTCCTAACACCCTCCTTCCATCTACCTCCACCTGGGCCCCTCTCTTTGATCACTTTGCCGTCATCTCTTGGGCCCATGTTGCTTGTATCAGCTTCACAGATTCCCGAGACGACGAACAAAGCAGCAGTATTCATCAGAACGAAGTCCAAGATGGGGTCATCTCGGGGAACGTTGTTGTTAAGGATGTTCAGCAAGATCTCTGCATTTTCGGCTGGTTCCTTCCCGGGAGAGACGTCTTCCAATGGATGAGCTGGGAGGCCAAAATCGTGGGGTGAGATGGTGAAACTCTCGATGTCGACATCATCTGGTGATGTCTTCTCGTGGGTTGACCTATCGACCAATCTCCAGCAGAAAGTTCGACCAGCACAACTAATCTCATCAAGATCTTCCTCGCCGCAAACTACCATGGCTTTTCTAGCGCCGTTCATCTTCAACGCATCAGCGAAGACGGGGCCGATATCTCTGCGAGCAACTCCGAGAAGGTGAACTTCGAGACTCCCTTCCAAAGGATTGGCAAGCGGGCCTAATAAGTTGAAAATAGTTCTCCACCCAAGCTCCTTTCGGATTGGAGCGACATATTTCATTGCAGGGTGAAAAACGGGCGCGAAAAGAAAGGCATAATTGGTTCTATTGTAGATCCTAGATATTGTTTCTGGTGTGACGGCTGCTAGATCAGGTGGCCTCGGTAGAGTAGCTTTGAGGAGATCGGCTGAGCCTGACTTGGAAGTGGAGGCTCTGTTGCCATGTTTGCTCAACAGCAGGAGTGAAGAGGCAAGTATGGAAGAAGTAGTGGATATATTAAAAGTGTTGTGAGAATCGCCTCCAGTGCCCACAATATCACACTAGTCACTAATCAGTCATTGCAACATAATAAGTATAAAATGCAATCATATTCAAGCGTCACTTACCAGTCCCCCGTGATATTCCCCTTCTGGTCTCCCGCGTGCCTTGACTACTTTGTCTAATTCGTCGTTGTCAATTGGAGAAGCAAACTCCCTCATGACTTTCGCGCATGTTGCGATGATATCTGCTCTTCGATCCCATCCTGTAAAGTGTAAGCAGGTGAGAAGGGCACCGGTCTGGACCGGGGACAATTGATCTGTGAAGATGTGTTCAATTGCCAAAGCGATTTCTTCGACTGTCACGTTATTTTCTGCTGGCGAGGGCCACAACCTCTTCAGAAGTGGTGTGATCGAAATGTGTTGAGGAGCACTAGGCTCCACAGCATTCTCTTGGGAGGACATTTCCCTAGTCAATTGATTGTATTGACGAAAATATTCACATATTAGTGAAGGACGAAGTATATCTGCTTGAGTCACTTTGATTTTGATACCTTGTATAAATTAAGGCGTCAAGGCTTCTGCTAACTCGCGCTAATCCCTTTCGGAACTTTTTCGAGCTGCACTCATTATCTTCAATTGCTTGATTCTAGCAAGACAATATCACAGCAGTGAGTGGCAGAGCAACAGTAATAATTTTATTCTCTTCATAGATGCTGATTCCTCCTATTAGATGCCTCCACGAATACATCCACCTTCACGGGTGGTAGCATCAGTCTTGAGATGCAAGCAACCTCAACGACAACGGCATTATGCCACAGCAGCAGCAGCAATTACGCCTGCCCCTTCCCTTGAGCAAACGACTCAATGTTCTCCTCCTATAGCTCGATTTCCGTCCACACAGCCCCCCTCGTACAAACCACCAGAGTTCCGGAAATCTCAATTACTCCGTCAATATGCATCACTTCTCCGCACCACGCCTCTCCTGCTTCTCTTCCAGCACAACAATCTCAAATCGGGGGAATGGGTTGGGATAAGAAGAGAACTCACGAAAGCTTTGCGGAAAGTGGATGAAGCTGGACTCGCAGCAGGGCATACCTCTGAACCTCTGGCAGATGCCATCAAGATCCAGATTATCCAGACTGGAATCTTCGCCGCGGCATTGAGAATCGTCGAGTTCTACAAGCCAGACTTACAATCTGGCATATCTAAATTAGACCCCACAGATCCTGCTACACCTTCCTCTGCGACAATTCCACTATATAATCCAAACGGCGGAGGATTGACGCACACACTGTCTGCAGCAGCGCACGAAGCAGTTGCAGATACAAGAACGGCTCATCCCCTCGCTCCTCTACTTTCCGGACCATTAATGCTGTTAACATTCCCCAATGTCTCGCCCCAACACATGAAAGCAGCACTTTCAATTCTGTCACCCAGCGCACCAGATTTTCCTGCACCTACAAGACGAGCAAATCCTGGATGGCACGATATTGGTGTTCAAAGCGGCCTCCAGAAGCTTCTATTGCTAGGAGCTCGTGTTGAAGGCAAGGTTTTCGACGTCGACGGAACGAAATGGGTTGGCAAGATTGAAGGTGGCCTGGGCGGTCTGCGGGCTCAATTGGTGGCTATGTTGCAAGGGGCGGGAGCTGGCATTACGAACACCTTGGAGAGTGCTAGCAGAAGTCTATATTTTACCGTTGAAGGCAGAAGGGCTATGTTAGAGGATGAGGAAAAGGGGTCTTCAACCGAGGCGCCCAAAGCATAGTGTGATGCATAGCGGCCTTTGTATTCTACGTGTAAATTTATGTGGTATATGAAACATAATTGGCTTTTCCATCTACAAGATCTTCTATTTGGTAAGAAGGCTATCTCACTTCATTTGAAGCCTAGCATTCATACCCACAATACACCTTACCAAGTCCCAGTCACCACCTGAGCCAACCCAGTCACAAACCACGATTCCACAACTGCCATCGCCTGGTCCCGCTGGCTCGTGATGTTTCCTGCAAAGGTGATCGATGATAGAAGGGTTCACTTTTGCAGCAATCCTATCCGGCCAGCAATTGGACCTCCAAAAATTTGATGCAGTCAAGAAGTTCATGAAAAAAGGCTGTCTGGACGCCTCTGCCACTGCAGCATTCATATCGTCCGGAATAATGCAGGACGCTTCTGCAGCCCTTGCAAGATGATCGATAGAAAATGTTATCTTCTTTTCAATGTTTTCGCTCTCGGCGACTTCATAGAAGTCCTGCACTCGAATCTCACCACTTGAGCAAACCCCGTCGGCGCAATTATCTGGCCAGCTTTCAGCATCGATGGCCCAGCCTTTGCCATCATTTTCCCCCTTCAAGGAATCGTCAATAGCGAATCGCCTAATCAAAACCACCTTGTTCCGTGTTTCTCCAAGGGTCGGGATGCGATTGTCCGTGAACCATCGATTGGGATCAGTTGCATAGTGTTGGTGCAAAATCTTGCTGAGCTGCTGATCGGTGGCTTTCCCTATTCCTTCTCGTTTCAGTGACATTATTACGGTCTCGCTCGGGTATGCATCCAGGAAGGAGAATACGGTACTAATTAGATCTTGAAAGTATTTGTTGCCTGTCAAAGAGATGGGAAAGGCGCTATGTACAAGTATAAGGCCGCTCTTTGAAAGGTTATCCGGGCTCTCAGGTTGGACCCGGATATCGAGAAATCGGACCCCATTATTTAGTTGATCTTTCACATTCACCGCTTGACAACGGACTGACGGGAGAGCAGTGTGATGTGTTGGTGAGTTATGGGTGCCCGGTATGCTGAGAGCTGAGAGAGGCGTTTCGTTCTTGATTTTCCCCATCCATGATTCTAGCTTCGCAGAGGAATAAAGTGCCAGGTGTGAGGACTTTGGCAAATGGACTGCTGTAAACTCGAATCGCGGATCGGGGGTAAGGGGGGTGAGAACAGTAGAGCGCTGCGAGGGAGTTGGCGTGTCCACTCTGTAACGCTGCCCTTCCGTCTCGAAAGTGAGTCGCAAGATAGCTTTCGGGTCCGGCTGAATGTCTGTCGCCTTAGTCTCGAAGGGACCAATTGGGATGGAGACCTCATGTTTGGTAAAGCTTTCGGCCTTTGCAGCAATTTGAGAAGATGATGGGTTCGTGAAGTTGCCCAGAAAGCCACTCAGGGTCCTAGTGATGTTTGCGATACCGCCATTGCCGCTGTCACTAGGTTGAGCAGCATCAAATCGTTCGAGAAGTTTCAGCTCGAGTGGAGTGCTAGTCAGGTTTCGTATAATCAAGGGCGAGACAGCCATTTTGTCTCGGGAAAGACGTAGGACCGCCAAGCGACAGAGCTCCAGGATTTGAGGCCATTTCCTTCTGGTGATTTGTCGAAATGTCTTAGAGTCCTTGGCACGTGCTAGCGGTCGGGTCTGCAGGGTTAGGGTAGGTAGGGTGGCGCTTACTCGTTAAAAGGGCAGAGCGATGGCAGTCAAAATCAATAGAACATTCCAACTAAAGTTCAAATTGTCCCGCACTGGGCAGAGTAAAAGTGCCGTTCCAAGTACTATTATCGGACTCGTGATATTGAAAGAAACTACGAATGTCGGTGTCTTCTATCCGACAAAGCCTCTCCCAAACTTGGGATCAGAATATCTGTTTTTCATATCTAACGATGCCACTATTAAATATGATATTAAATGTCTGTTGTGCATATCTAACAACGCCTTTACCAAACTCGAAATTAGAATATCGGTTTTTAATATCCAACAATACCTCCACTAAGCTTAGCATTAGAATATCGGTATTTCATATTTGATGATACCTCCGCTAAACCCAGTATTAGAATATCGGTCTTTTACATTTAACAATGCCTTTACCAAACTTAGCATTGAAATGTCGGTTTTTATATTTAATAATACCTCCACCAAACTTAGTATTCGAATGTCGGTCCTTCGCATTTAATAATGCCTCTATGGAAACTGATATCTGCATGTCTGTTCCGTCAGAAGAGGCGATAATATCTTCGAGTAGAGCCGCATATCTTGAGTGTCGCACGGGGAATACTTAGGTACGAAAGTACAACAAGAGGGCGAGGGAGCATTGTCGTTTGGGTGGGCGCTCGGCTAAAGTAGAGCTTAGACGTATCGGGCTTAGGAGCGGGAACTAAGCGCCCCTTTCTATAGCCGAGCAGCGCAGGCTCATGAAAAACATAAGTGTAGCTACAATAAAAGATAAAAAAGATATTTAGCAACACCATGTTTCGATCATGGGACCTCCGGGTAACAAGGATTGTCATTAATAATTCTTTTTTGGAACTTTAAGAACTCTAAGAACTCTAAGAGCAACCTATGAGCCCGGCGCGCTTCCGCTGCGCCATGTTGCTTTTGTTGCAGTGTTTGCTTATCAGGCAAACTGCTGATTGATGGAAATAATTTGCTTATTCAATGTTATACGGCCTTCCCAACTTTTTCAGCCCACTAGTCTCAATTAGTCACAACGCTAGTCTATAGTTGGATGCAGTATCCGATAAGCCATGACTTTGGTTCTCTGAAATTCAAGCAAGAGATTTCCTTACTTTATTTGCATTTCACATTTTGGGACCTTGAGAGTTACGTAATTGCTATTTTCTGACTACCTACATTACAACTAGATGAAAAAGCTCTAGTACTGTCAATGTCCGTGTCAAACCTTTTAAGTCCACACTATTCACCTAGAGGGCCAAAGCTTCCAAAGACGATGGACATTAAGATCTATCGAGCACGTAGAAGGAATGTCATTTGCAAGAGCCATGCAAATATGCAAAGCACCATTTTGAATGCTATAAGATTAATAGTTACTCTATTTTTACTTCATTCCAACAAATATTACCATTTCTCATGAATTATACAACTCCCGAACCGCACTTGCCCTTGCCATCAATGCCCGAGGGCTGTCAAATTCCTTCAGCTCTCCATTGCTCAACAGCGCGATCTTATCAAAATCCATGATCGTATCCAACCGATGCGCCACCGCGATAATAGTGCAATTCTGAAACTCGCTCCTGATAACCTGCTGCATCAACTCATCAGACTTCGCATCCACACTACTCGTTGCCTCGTCGAGAATCACAACTTTACTCTTCCGCAGTATTGCACGAGCAAGACAGAAAAGTTGCCTTTGGCCATGCGAAAAGAATTCTGCATCCAGTTCGGTATCCAGACCTCCTTTGTTAAGAACCAGGTCCCAGAGATGGACCTTCTGTATGGCGGATATTATCATAAGATCCGTATGCTCTCCGCATGGATCAGCATTGGCGCGAACTGTACCTCGAAAGAAGAATGGTTCCTGTGGGATCGCATTCAATCTCGACCGGACCAGCTCTCTTGGCAAAGACGTGATATCAATCCCATCAATCGTGATTGAGCTATCTTCTGTGACCTCCAGCATCCGGAAAAGTGTCGTTATCAGAGAGCTTTTGCCACTACCACTTCGACCACAAATCCCTATCTTCTGGCCAGCTTTGATCGACATATGGAGGTTGCGAATCACGAGGTTGTCATTGGCTGTATATGATGCGGAGACATTTTTGAACTCGATGTTGCCGTACGAAGGCCAGTTTTCTGGAACGTCCTCGTCTTCGCCTGGAAGGTTCTCGGAGGCTGTCTGCATTGAAAAGTTCATGAGACGAGCGATGGCTCCAATCGAGGTCTCTAATTTGGTCCAATTCTTAATGATCTCTGCCAATGATTCATTGAAGCCCATCACGTTTAATAGAGCCAAACCAACGAATCCTGCACTGATCTCGGTGCGCTGTAATTGTTAGCATACAACCACCTACCCTAGCTGGAAGAACTTACGAGCTTGACCACAAGCGTCATCAAGACTACAGCCAGAACCATCACCAGCAAATCCAACACGAGAGCCAGCCAGCGTTGTATGCAGAACAGAAGATAGTAAGGCTTCTGTGAGATATCCAGGAGCGTCAGGTTACGTTCCTGTCCCACGTTAGCATTCTTGAAGTGATTGTTGCTGAAGACTGTCTACCTGGAAGTTTTCATCCCATCCAAAGGCTCTGATAGTGACAAGACCACTCAGGGATTCGATAAAATGGGAATAAAGTGGCGATTTTGCCTCTAGATCAAGTAATCGCATCTGACGAGAAGTCCTCAGATAGTATTTCTGAATGACTGTTCCTAAGTTAGTATATATTTTACACCTACAAATAGATACTCACCCCAGACAATCAAGATGACTGGTGGTACTGTAGCGGCGAAGTAACCTGCTGATATGCACATCAAAGCTGCACTCATGACTGTGATTACCAGAGAGAATGCTAGGTCGATGAGAGAATAAGGGAGTTCAGCATCGAGGACTGTCATATCCTGGCTAAATCTGCAAAGGCATTAGTCAAGATTCCGACATACGGCCCAAACTTACCTGTTCGTGGTCTGTCCAGTATCAGTTTTCGTGAAAAACGTCAACGGAGCTTCCATCACGGTCTTAAGGAGGCGAGCGTGGAGAACCTCAGCACTACGGGGCACAAGTCTCAACGCGAGTTCGCCGATTCCTCCAAGCAAACCAACTTGTCCAAGCCCAGAAAGCAGAGTGTACATGCCAATATAGAAGCCATTGGCTTCATTTCCATGCGCTGCGACAGCTTTCGTCCAATAACTTAACAAAAATTCAGTCATCTTTGAGGCCACCCCATACAGCAACACCCAGCCGAAGAACATGAAAGTGCTAACCCAGCCAATAGAACTGAAATAGTACTTATAAACTGCGAAGTCACCAGTTTGTCTATTGAGGTCTTCGGCGCTGATTTCTATTTCTTCGGCTTCCGCAGAGAGAAGGGCTGCCGATTTCGCCACGAGTGCGTTCGGGGACGTTTGTCTTCCTCTCGGCGAAGATAAACCCTCTGATTTAAGCTTCAAAGACAAGCCCTGGACATAGCCCCCAGCATTCTTTAGCTGCTCAAAACTGCCTTGCTCGACAATGCACCCTGTAGGACCAAGTGCAATGATGTGGTCGGCATAGTTCAATCTCTGGACTGCATGAGTTGCAAAAAGGACTGTCGTACCCATTTGACGGAATAGCCCATCTTTTCCGAAGAGATTATTACAGATGTGGTCCTCCGTTTCGGCGTCTAGACCCGAAAATGTATCGTCAAGTATTACGAGTTCCTTTTTCGCGTAGACTGCACGAGCAAGAGCTAGACGTTGTTTTTGACCGCCGCTCAACGAAATGCCTGCACTGCCTACGGGCGTGGCTAACCCAAATCAGTTATGGTTCGATATGCGAATTTCCTCTGGATAACTCACCGTGACCCCGCGGTAAGAGAGCAATATCACCCTCTAAACCACAGCTATATACAACTTGGCCGTACCATGTCTCGTCGTACGACGATATCCCCAGTATATTCTGTTGGACTGTACCATTTCGTATCCAAGCTGTCTGGTCGACGAATGCAGTCTCGGGGGAAGGACTGTAAATGAAGCCTTGTGACGATGGAGTCTCTCCCAACAAACCCTTTAATAAAGTGCTCTTTCCACTCCCCACCGGTCCTATTATGAAGCACATATGATGGCGATGGAGAGTAAAGTTTAAATCACTTACTACCGGGGCTGCAGTTCGATCCCAAGCAAAGCTAGCATTATGGGCAGTTATTAATGAGGACCCAAATTCTTTTTGGCGTGCGATGGGCGGCAAAGCTCTCATCGCAATTCCATCATTTAGTGAGGCGGCCGATGAATCATCTATAGGTTCCATTGACTCCATTAGTGGTAAGCGATGGTCCCTTCGGGCATCCGATTTGAGGAACGACTCGATGCGGTCAAAGCAAGCCATTGCAGCATTCAGCATTGGAATGGTCATCACAATGGTATTCATTGGCGATGACAATAGCGAAATTAATGAAAGTGCGGTGTAGGCCGAAGCGGTATCAAGAGTCCGACCGGTCGTCTTCGCTACAATAACAAATACAATGAACGTCGCAAGTGGAGAGATGGAGTTTGTGCTATTGCCTGGCTCAGATGTTAGAATGCAAACGAAATCCAGAAAATCAAGGGGCTTTGAGGTACCAAAGAATACTCGAACACAAAGCAGTTTTCGAAAGAGAGTTGATAGTTTTAATTCAGTGACACGAAGACCTTGTATGATGGTAGTCAGTATGCTGGTAAATCCAAGCATTTTCACAGACTGTGATGTGATTAGAACGTCATAGTTCAAATTTAAGCATGAACGACAGACCTTCATTGATGAGAGCATAGTCGCAGTAACATCAACACGGGTTTGGATGCCTTCCATCCAGATCTTCTGAGCGTTACCCATATACTTTGACACTACAACTTATTAGTACTGTATTTTTTTTCTGAATAAGAGCCCAGGATGAAACATGAACGCCAATTTAGTAAATAGCAAAATCAAGGGACGAAAAAAGAAAAGGGCTGGTTACTGGTCAAAACTCCTGCTGTGGAGAAAATGGCTACTGCTGCTGGAGCCAAAAATGCCAGCCCTAGTTGCCGATTCAGAAGCCATAAAGCTATACCAAGCTCAATTGGCACCGCCCATAATTCATGTATGTACTGGAAGCCTTGACAAATGGCCTCTGGTAGTTGTTAGCTAAGTCTTGGCGAATTCACGTCGAGTGCTTGCCTGTGTCATTTGACATCAAAGTGACAGCCACGCTCTCATCGAGCGCAGTGATACTTAGATCCATAGTCTTAGCATATACCAAGCCTACTAGCGTCCCTCGGACCGTAGTGATGAAGCGGTAACACATATGGTAATATGCACCATTCGAGATAGCAAGCCCCAAGAACACGAGGCCGAAGGCAGCCGTAAGCCCCCAGCCAACACTATCGCTCTCGTCGGCATTGCTTGCAAAGTTTACGGTTCTCGATAATAGGAATGGCTACAATCGAATCGCCGAGTCAGCCTACCTCTTCGTCTACTGGGGGAGCAGATTGCATGTCTTATGAGCCGTGAGATATTCGAGGTATAAAGGGGTGTGAAATAACTCGACTCTTCAAGATCGAGAAACAAGAAGCAAAAAAGTTCATTACTCAAAGAAAAGTGACTCACCTGTGCATATCGGAATCCGATGAGACAAATTCGTGGGAAAACACAGTATAAAAAAGGGGTTCGGGTCGCTTTGAGCGTTGCCCATACCAAAGCCCGCTTCTTATCCTTGTCTGCCCTCTTCCACGTCTCTTGGGCACGGTCGTACAAAAATCTCGAAGTCATGTTATCGTCGATAGGATATAAGTCTTCATTGTTAAGTACTCTCGTGAAACCAGTTCGCATTAAGTTGTTTAGCCAGAAGAAAAAACTGCGGCTGTAGATACCACTTGTTGCTTCCGGCGACGTATGCCTGTAGCGGCTAAGGAGTATCTGCCTTTTTTCGAC